TACTTCTGAGGGCTCTGGGGAAATATTAGGGGTCTAAACAGACCCCTGATATTTTCCTTTATAAAATAGAAAAAGAGATTGAGGACAGAAAGTCCTCAATCTCTTATTCTGCAGCCCCTGTTCTAAATGAACAGAAGCCTCTATACTGAGTGTTCCTGTCCATTCATAACTTGTGGAAATAGTATGAGTTACTATGACCACAACCATAAATAAACAGGATGTGATGTATAGCACTTCCTGTTCATTAATAACTGGGGACACCGTAAGGGGGGCCAAGCGGGGCAGTGTGGGAGGAGAGTTTGGCTTCCTGTGACAGCTGACTCCTCCCCATACCACCCTGCTCTCCATCCTGATTCACCTGTCACAGGAGCAGAGCTTGGCCTCCTGTGACAGCTAATAGCTGACTCCTCCCTACACCGCCACGCTCGGCATCCTGAGAGCTTCTCTCCTCCCCACTGGACGCCGGTCTGTGCCATCTCGGAGCCCCGCTGACTATGCCAACACAGGCAGGGGAGAGCAGCGGGGATCAGAGGGGATACAGACCATTGCCCAGCGGGGGGGGAGAGAAGCTAGAGATGCACTGAATTTTCGGCCATTATGGTACTATCAGCATTTTCCCCATAGTACCATTTTTGGCTGAAAAGATTCAGTGATGGAAATTTCAGTTCCTCCCTAATAAAATAAATTGAAAAAAAATCCAAAAATGTGTGTGTATGTATGTATGTATGTGTGTGTATTAATGCATTATCACTATCTTGAGAGAGAGAGAAGTGGAAATCCTCTTCCCAGTGATTTTTCATTTTCCTAGTTCATGGGAGTTGTTAGATTTTCCATTATGTCACAAGCAAGATTAACCGGCGTCAGGAGTCTTGTGTCCCTTGAACTTGATAAATTGGAATGCTGAAGCTCCATTCACATTTCTAATCTCAGTCAGTAATATGAGGCCAGACAGATGTGCAAGGTGAATTACCATGAGGCAACCGATCAGAAATCTTCAGTTAATAGATACGTGTAGGTAAAAATTTGTATTTCCGGGCCTAGCTTGTGCATAGGAAAACTAAAGAGGACCTGTGTTCTCCAGGGCAACATACCAATGGTTTCATGTGTGTGGTTCAGTACAGTGGGGGGGCGATCAATAAAGCAATGACAGCACTTTTGCGACGTTATGGCCGCATTTGTAAGTACTGTGCCAAATTCATGAAAGCTGAGCACGTTTTCTTACTATTTCATGCAGCACCTTCAGGTAGGTCATACGTACAACTCTATTACTTTCTGGCGCTATGGCTACAACAGATTTATAGAGAAAATATGGGCATATTGGTGATTAGAAGAGTAGGTAGACCTCTTCCATGTTGGAGTAAATTCTGCCTGGGCCTATTCTGTATCAGATTCATATACACCTTACC